TGTCCACCAGATACGCCAGGAGTTTCCTGATCTGGCTGGATGAAATCAAATGCAAATCACAAAATATTAGAGAAACGTAGTTGTTTTAGATTCGTTAGTAGTAGTTGTGGTAGGAGTGTGTATCTATCTAATCAACACAGTTAGCTTGCCAGCTAATATGCTAACCTACGTTTGCTAGTTGTTCAGTGTAATATGCCAATCTACTATGAACAACAGCTAGTCTAGGCTAGCAAGAACATGTTTACAATTGCAATCTTATACGGGTAGTCTGCTACGTTCGGTCATTCATTGTAGCTGGCATGAAAACAATGTTTTCCCTAGCATGTCTAGCTCTAGCTAGCCTTCTTGTTTAGCTATGTAGCCAGGGGTTAAATTGGGCCGGGGCTGTCCGGGGCTCAGCCCCGGCACATAGGACGATGCTCTGACGTTATCACCCTCGCTCATTTGTCATTTGTTTAAGCCATATGTTAAAACATCGTTCGTTCTTAATATAGACTTTATTTAGGGTCGATATGTGTTGACTTTACTTTAAAATAGCAGATCTCTGTGAAGATATAGTTTTTCCGCTTAGTGAACGTGTGTCTCTGCTCCGATCAGGAGCTGCAGCACCGCGGCTCCTTCGTGCAGAGAGTCTGCAGCGGTGTGTGCGTGTGTGTGTGCAGAGAGTCTGCAGCGAGTCTGCAGCGGTACCGCCAAACCCCCGACCCGTCTTGTAACACGGAGCCCGTTTCCTACACCATCAGGGCCGGTTATAACCAATTTGCTGCCCTAGGCGAGATTTTAGCTGGTGCACTTTAAGCACACATTACTAGAGACCTGATCTACTGTAGGGGGTACAACTCTAAACACCCATATGAAAAAGATCGGTTTACATTTTAATAACCAAATATGTGAACATAACCAATAACCTACCACAGCCAATAACAAATAAATGTAACTTATTTTATTTTTGTTGTTCATTCATATCTTATTTTACCTAGTTAACATTTATTTATGCATATTTTGTATCTCTCAAGTTTTAAACGATATTTCTGGTTTACTGTCCTATAGTATACATTGAAATGATTTCAAACCTGTTTATCCCAATAATTATAAAGGAGTGCCTTGGAAATATTTGTTTACATAAATTGCATTTATCTCTCTCGCTCGATCCCACGCCCACTTTGGCTGTGAGCTGCGGACGCCTGATAAGCCAACACCCCCCACTTTCATCACTTACAGCGCCCATCGTACAGGGCAAATGAAAAGTGTAACCGGGGTGAAAAGGGTGTTACATTTACTTAATTATGAATGTTGTTACATCAAGGCCGAAAATTAGGATGAGCGCAAACGGTCAAAAATGTTTTTTTCCCTCCCAGAGCTGCCAGCGCAGCGCCCCCCAGATCTGGCGCCCTAGGCAACCGCCTATGCCAAAAACCGGCCCTGTACACCATGCTAAATGTATGTCTGCATAAAGCTGAGTTATGATCAGTCATAATAACACAGAATTTGGTGATGATTAAATAGCTTACAGTGAGATTTACTCCCATACTTTTGGCCATACTCACGCAGCCCTACAAATGAATTGAGATTTCCACACAAATGTTCTTTAGCAAGTGTGCAGAGCAGTGTTGATTTAAAAAAGCAATTTGAAGGTTGGATATTTGTAAACCTTTTTTTGTGTATATATATTAATAATTTAAGATGTAAATTAATTCCAGTTTATTTGTAGTACTTTCTATTTGTATTGTGACATTTGGTGGCATCAATGTGTGCATTTGATACAGATAATGGAGCAGTTGCTTTGGCCACAGTGTATATCCCTTAAGGTCAAATAATGAGATCCTCGACCTCCGCCCCCCTCTCGCACCTCCACACAGCCCCCCCACATATCAAATCCCAACTTAACCCCTGTATGTAGCATACACGCTATGAACGGTAGCTCGGTAGCATTCACGCCAGGAACGCCAACTATAATGTACTGACCGTACGGTAAATCACTAGTATACTAGTATACTGTCTATGAGTATTTTGTGTGTGATTGCAGACATTCTCCAGCTATGAGATACATGTAAGGCCATCTGCTAACATTGGAGTTGATATATGGAAACGCTAGCAACTTAGTTAGCCCAGTTAGCATTGCTCGCACACACACAGACACACACACTGCTGGAGGAGCAGACAGGCTTGGCGATACAGCTAGAACAAGCGAAACTCATCCTGAGCACACACAAACACTCACAGCCGAAGTAAAATCAATAAGTGTGGCTTGATATTGAGTAAGAAAAAGGTTTATAACGCTGTGAGCATGGGTCTGCGGAGAGCATTTCAACGTAGAAAAACATTTACCCATTTAAACAGTCGTGGTAGATACCTTGTTTGTTTTAAACATCATAAATACACAAACAACAATGAATACTTACAGATTGTGTACCCGAATCTCCCGCTGGTCCAAACAAAGTAGGAACAGCATCGTTCTTCAGTGCCCTACGCTGTACATATCCGGCATGAATCGCTGAAAGGTTTGTGAAGCTTTGTTACGTGTAAGGCTGGCAGAGGGTGCGGCCATAGCTCTGGGCGTGGCTACTGGGTATCCCTACGTAGCGATACCCAGGAAGAAAACATTGGAAAATTAGAAATCTCCAAAGAGGCATTTTGGGGAGATATTTTCTCTGTTAGAGTTTTACTCGCTACAGGGTGTATTTTGAGGGTTTGTGACTCTGCAGACCGTTTACATAAAAACCTTCATCACACACAAGGGGACGGGTAATAACCGGAAAAGCATGACATGGGACCTTTAAAACATAACATGTCCACACTATGGTATTACTACTTTGCTTTACCAAAAGATTGAAATAGTTCTTCCAACTCTCGAAAATGGGTATATGATACAGCAATGTGATGCGCGGTTATTTTCTGAAAACTTAAGATGCTGATTAATGCTGCATTTATCCACATGTGCTGCTACACCATGCATTCATTTAAATGTGACATGGCGGCGCTGCAGAGTCTCAAATGTTTTATTGTTGAAGGTAATTCAGTTTATTTAATGATAGAAATGTATGCAAGGGCTACACAATTTGGAAAAAATAACTAACTGTGATTATTTTGACATTGCAGTTGCAACATGATCAATTTTGCATCATTGTTTCCATACATCTCCTGACATTTCCCTGTGTTTGATTTTTATATTTGCTGTTGTAATTTATTGTCTTCTGTTTGCTATCGCAGTAAAGTGTTTTTATTGCATGTACAGCACTTTGGCTCGTTTTTAAAATGTGCTAATAAATAAAACTTGATTTGATCTAAAATGATCAGTGTGATCTCTTGAGAAAAGCCTGACCAAGTAAGGATTCTTTTTTTTGTAAAGTAACTCTATTTCTAGGCCGAGACTTCTCTGCAGCACCACAATCCTTTAATTATTGTACTAGCCCATATTGTGATTTCAATAATGTTGCGATTAATTGTGCAGCCCTAATGCATGGACACACACATGAATAATACCAGGCCTGTTCTGCTGAGTCTAGTTTTCTGTGTTGCAGCCCCCACACTGGGATACATACTGAGCTGAAGTTGTACACACAACGTGTTTTGTATTACTACACAAACTAATATCTACATAATATCAAACATGTCAGTGGCACCCAGGTTAGTAAACTGCTTTGATCCTTTTTCTTTGAAACAGAGTCGACAATACCAATAAATCACAACCACACGCATCTGTATAAAAGCTTACTTTATGAAGCACAGACTAAATATTCAGTAAATATGTCCTTTACATAGTATAAGCATCGTGTCAAAAACAGTTTCCGATATACAAACAAAAAGACAGATCCAATGCTGACATCAAGGTGCCGAAGTTGTCATTTTTTTATAAAACATAACAATCAACAAATATTTTTTTCGTCACAATCCTATATTACAGCACAGGCCTACCCTAGAACATTGGGAAACAATGGTTAGCACGACAGCCAAAGTGACTATAGGGGGGAAGTCTCCCTGTAAGAAAGCGGTTATTCATCCTAACAGTACAGCTTTATAAAATGACTTTCCTCTCTGAAAACTACACCTCAGACTTTTTGTTCTGTACAAGGATCCGGCTCCAGGATTCCAGCCAAGTCCTGAAAAGGATCCCAGATCCATCAGCCACTATTAATATGATATACGAAGCAACAGAAGCGCTGTGTGCAGAGCCAAAGATATCACTTCCTGTCCATATCCACCACTTTGCTTGTGTCAACATGCTTCTGTGCCACGCCGAGGCTGAGCGAGGGCACTAAGCTCGCTGATCTACAGTTCTGTGTCATACGCAAATCCCATAAGAAAGAGGAAAAGGTGTGTGTGGATCGAGTAAGTCAGGTGCTCAAATCAGCGGTACCGCCACCACTTCCTCCTTCCATGAGAAACAAGCTTAATGTATTGTGTTCCTGTTTGGATAAATGTGCGCGGGGTGTTTTTACTTGGTGAGTCTTACTTAGAAAACCCAAAGCAGTGTGTCTTCTTCTTAGAACAACTTTTCCCCATGTGGAGGAGTTTTTGATGGCTACTTGTTTTGCTGCTGTTCTCCAGTCCGGTGCTCCGACAGGTTTAAGCACGTTAAGCTGGAGCAGTCCTGCCTGCTACACTCTCCAATCAGCTGTCTCTCTGTAAGAACGGCCGGGGCCTGCTTTCACAAAAACATCTTCAATACACCAGTAAATGCTCAAAATGAGGCCAAGCAAGCTATGACATGTCTATTTTATAAAAGAAACCATTTTGTAACATGATTGGTTCGATTTGTTTCCAATGTACGTACATTTATAAATGAAAACCTTACTATTATATACACTTCTGCAACACTGTTTATGCAGAACTGTTTATAAAGTAATGTTTTAGTGAAAAGGTGTGTGTTTCGGAAGTAGTGAGCATAAATGACACTGCAAGAGTTTCTAAATGAATGATTTCGGATCATTTTGCTCAAATGGTCCCTTTTAACTGTAATTCATCAAGACTTTTCGCCCTTAATGATTCTTCGTGGAGCCATGAGAGAGAAAGTATTATTTTAAGAAGTCAAGGTAGAGACTTTGTCAAAAGGATGATGTCTGCCTCTGTGATGAATGAGATGCTTTTGAGAGCCTGGACTATTACGGCAGTCTCATTCAGCAGAAGGCCGTTGGATTTTTTCTCACCAAACAATAAATAAGTCTGAAAGGAAAACATCTTCCTGTTGGCGTCAGCACTCAAATCTCAACAAGGAACTGCTTGAAAAGAGCCAACACACACACACAGTTGATCCACTCCCGCCCACACCCTCCTGCTCTGCCCTTTACTTCCATATTTTGTCGTGATTACAACAGGAGTAGTTTGCGGGATAAACAGAACATGGCACAGCGCTTTCATTCAGTTCAAAGACTTGTAGGAGAATAATTGAAGGCATGTCAGTATCTGGGGGTGGGCGGCAGCTTTAAAATCACAGCTCACTGTGACTAACACTCACTAAATCCCTCAACATCTTGTGTCAAGGTGCCCTTGAGTAAGGCCACTCAACCTCTAGTTCCTCTGGCGGAGCAGCTTATGAGCAAACACAGCTCCTCTACAATTTTCAACTGTACGAATGTCAGGATGGGGAAGGAAAGAGCGCGCATGCTCGGTGTGTAAACCCTTCCCCGGGGCGGAGAATTCAATAAATAAATAAATATGCTATACATGGCAGGGACTCAATCCTTCTGAGAAGTTCTTTCAAGAGTTTTTTTGGGATGGATATGCTGCATTTTCACACACCACCCATTATGTATGGTCCGTACACACGCCTGCGAGGTGGCTAGGTGCGTCAACACGAGTGGCGAAAAAAGAAAAAAAAGGCCTAAATGCTAACAGTAGTACCATGTCCGTCTGAAACCTCCTTCTTTGCAGCCTTTAACTAATACATTATAAATTACTCACAACTAGAAAACACAACTAGCTCTGAGTTGGGAAATAATACTGATGATGTCATTATAAATAGTGATCACAGTTAATGATCATGTCGATGTGCAATAATAATAATAATAAGAGTTCAAAGGACTGAGGTTTGGCAGGGTCACTTGTTGAGCACGGGCTCTTCTCCATCTATTGCTCAAGGACAGAATCACCGGGTGGATCAATTCTGGAGGGGGGGGGGGGGTCATGTCTCCTGCTGCTGTCCTACAGGAGGGGCCCAACACAGAAACACTAACAGGAAACAGCCAGTAAGAAGTCGGAGGGTGTTTGTTTCGTTGCCCTGGTCCTTCCTCCCCTCAGCTCCTCTGTCCCGGGGCAGTCCTCCCGTTCAGCCCCCCCTGGGCCTGGCTGATGGACGGGGAGGACTGCGTCTTGCGGAGGTGACACTCCCGACCGGACAGCCCACCCTCCATGATCAGGCCCCCCATCACGCTGGCCTCGATCTTCTCAAGGTCGTCCGTCTCCGCGCGGAGTTTGGCCTGCAGGAGGCTGATGTACGTCTCATAGCGGGACTTCTGCTCAGGGAAGGGAGGGGGAGAGGGGGAGAGGGGGAGAGGGGGAGAGGGGGAGAGGGGAGACAGGACAAGGTAAGATGAAAGAGACACAACTGACTTTATTTATGTCAATTACAAATGATCTGTATTTAATAGCTTTTCTGTTCAATATCTAGCTTTATTTAAGCCTTAAAAGCGTTAATGACTTTAACGTAATAAATACGTTACCCTAGCATACCCTTAACAATAACCTATTCACCTCTAGTGTCCATCCTTAAGCTAATACAAGGACTGACAGTTAAAAAACAATACCCATATATTTGTTTAAGTTATCATGAGATTTCATGTGTGCCAACTAAACATCTTTGCAACTATGAAAAAAATACAACATTTGAAACGATATACTTGAAAAATAGAAAGGACATGAAAAGGAAAACAGCTAACAGACAGTGGCCGTCTGTCATGCTTTTTAGTCTCTTAGCAGCCCTTTAAGTTGAATAATAAAATGAGGAATTTAGGGGACGTGTACCTCGTACGTGAGGTAGTGCTCTTTGAGCCGATACTCCTCCCACTCGCGGCTTTTGGGGTCGACTGAGTTTTTCCGGTGCTCCTCCAGCTCCAGGCTCATCTGCTTCATCTTGTTCTCGTGACTCAGCAGCTGCTCCTCCTGCACCAATCACAGCACGCACACAAAAACAGCCAATCAGATGCAAGCAGACACAAATAGAATATATTAAAAAAAGACGTGGGTAGAGACTTTTAATGCAGTAGGATAGTGTAGGCTGCAGCGGTAAACTGTCTTTTAAATACAAGCTATTTTTCTAAGGGGAAATAAAAGCTATTAGAGCCACCCTGATATTTGTCCATTTGTGTGTGTGTGTGTGTGTGTGTGTGTGTGTGTGTGTGTGTGTGTGTGTGTGTGTGTGTGTGTGTGTGTGTGTGTGTGTGTGTGTGTGTGTATGTGTATGTGTATGTGTGTGTGTGTGGTGTGTGTGTGTGTGTGTGTGTACCTGTTTGAGTCTGGTGGATGAAGACGGTAGGATGGGCCGGCAGAATTTCTTCATGGAGCCGATGGCGGCGGGGAAGGCGGGAGCGGAGAAGAGCGCCGCCACCAGGTTTATCCTGAAGATCCAAGACATCATCTCCTCCTCACTCCTGAAAGGGAGAAAGACAAGATGAGGGGGTGCTGAAGGGGGAGAGAGCAGGTGAGTGCATAAGAAACTGTCTCATTGATGTTTCTTAGTTTGCCCCGTCAACATAGATTGTTCTGGAAGAAAAGCCTGGTGCATTCAACTGGCGAAAGAAAAATGACAGAAAATAGACAATTGTTCAAAATGACACAATATTTGTAAAATGATGTCCTCATCTCTACATGTAGCAGCTTTTATTTGTGTGCCCACATTCTAAAGGATTCTTTATTTGTCATGTGCACAATAGATACAGCATAGTTTATGCATGAAAATCTTTACTCCCAGGCTGCTCCCACAATGCAACATACAATATTCCTAACATAAAAAACATAAAATAATGAAATAAAATAGTACAATAGACATAATGTGCAATAAATTACAGGAATAACAACAATATATACCCAATGAAAATAATAAGTTAACCAGAATGTAACATTAAATACTGTATTGTAGAATATAACTGTGTACTGTCGTGATATATAAATATGTGATTATGTGAATTCAACCATGAGGGAATTCAAATGAGCCTCATGTATATCTTTCTATCAGTGAAGAAACCTTATAGCTTAATTTGCTTAATAACTACTTTATGAACATAATCCAGGATGCTGGACAGCTTACATCATGATCTTAAAACCAGGCAAAACATTAAAATCATGCAAAAAAATAGAAATACAAATTGTAAAATACTGTAGAATTTGTCTTAAACCGCCATTTTGCAGGCTCATTTTTAATGTGAAGTGTAATGAAAACATATCAAATATGAATTTACTTGGACTTATTTTTTTGTATAAATATCTTTATGTAATTTTGTTTATTGCACATTCTTTTTTAACCTCTTTTTTTTTTTTTTATTATTTCCTTCTGAGTATTGTGAAGACTGTGATTTGGTGACTCACGAGGCGTGCAGCAGGAAGACTCTCCAGTCGGAGGTTTTGAGCTTCATCACGTTGGCTCTCTTGCTGTAGTCGGTGGCCCGGGTGGCCAAAGCGTGGTGGATCCGCACGGCGTTCTTCAGGTCCACCTCGGAAATGTCTGCGTCAGGCTTATACTCATCCTTTGGTAGAAAACAGAGAAGAAAAACAGGCATAAACAACATTGACGTTAAAAAAGGAGTGAATATAGAACAATTATTTAAAACGAATGTAAAACTATTATAATAGTTAAAAAGCAAGAAAACATTTTGAAAATAAATACATATAAAAAAGTGAGTGCAATAACAATATGGCAATTTACTCTCAAAAATAAAACACTTGCATTATAGCAGAATTACTCAAAAATAAAAAAACATATTTACGAGAATTTCAAATACAAAAAATGAGCTGGACAGATAGAGATGCATACGTTTCAATTATCTGCTATAAAATATATTTGATTATTATTTTCAATTTTCTCTAAAATATATCATATGTACAGTATATCATAATTTGAGGTGGACAGATACATACTCTTGATGTGTTCTTTAACATTTTCTAAATTGACTCAATCAATTTCAATCTAAGGAATAAACCTCAAAGAACCACACTGCTGGAGACACAAGAAGAATATAACATTTCATAGCTTGACATGTAGTCAGTAAAGCCTTCCTACCAGCAGGGGGGGACAAACAGGCAGAAGAGCAGCCATGCCTCATTTCCTCCCTTAATGCTCTATCTGACACACACACACACACACACACACACACACACACACACACACACACACAACACACACACACACACACACACACACACACACACACACACACACACACACACACACACACACACACACACACACACACACACACACACACACACACACACACACACACACACACACACACACACACACACACACACACACACACACACACACACACACACACACACACACGGATGTGTGTTTCTATGGTAACAGGGCAGAGATGCAGTACCTTCTGGAGATACAGGATCATCCCTTTCAGCACCGCATAGAACTTCTTCCAGCCGCGGCGACCCCTCGGGGCTGAGAGGGAGAAAACGATAACAATTATAACTTTTCTTTGATATTTTCTTTTACAATAACTTATTAGCACGTGAATATGAATGTGTGTGTGTGTGTGAGAAATCACTCACTGCGTTTGCCGTCCATGTCGGCGTGGCTCTTGCGGGTCAGCACCCCGTGTTTGTAGGTGACGGCGTTAAGCTGAACGGGGATGGCGATGAAAGGATTATGGCCGTCCGTTACCCTGGCAACACGCTTGCTCCCGCCCTCGCAGTGCTCCTCCACCAGCTCCGACAGACTCTTCCTCAGCTCCTCCTCCTCCCTGCACACACACAAATACCCATTCACATAAACCTGAGCAGCACGTATTCAAGTGTACTTTACTTCCTAAAAAGACGGGCATACCACGCATGCTTTTCCTTTTGGACACAAAATGCTAAATACTCACACTGCCCACTCCAGCTTCTCATTCTTGATGGAGTTATACAAGATCTGTGTGGGCAAGGCAGGGAAAGAATATATTTTACTTGAGTACAGGAATGTGAAGAAGTGCTTCAGTTCTGAGGCTTAAACAAAAAAAGATCAAGCTTTTGTTGGAGCTGTGTTTTTGTTTTTTTGTACCTTTAACAAGTCTTTAGGGTAGTCTTTGCCACTGTTGAGGCCATCTAGATTACTGATAAACTGCGGGCAGGACATCTTCTTCCCGATGTTCTGAGGAGAGGTGAATATCAGACGCAGATACAAGATTAGGATGAAATTTCACATATTATTTTGCATGTTTGGTATAAATGGGAACAATACTTAGGTGCCATTAAAGCTGCCAATGTTTGTCATGATTCTTTTTAGGGTGCAAATACTAAATATTTTCAAAAAGTTAATGAGAGTAATGATGTTAAAGGTCTATGGCGGTAAAACAGAATGTTTAGCTCAGCACCACAGAAGTTGGTAAATATATATTTAATTTCCAAAGAAGCTAATGTTTGCGACCCACTTTTATCCGCAGCAACTTGAATGCAGTTTTGCAGCTCACCACTGGGTGGCAGTGTGGTGCTACTGGTACTAGCAGCAGCAGTGGTTTTAGACCTCATGGTGCATCAGCTTTCATTCATTTTCTCTTAATTTAACCTTTAATAATGATATATCAATAGTAATTGAAAATATAGGGAAGTGATTGCATATTGCCCGGTTCTGCTTGAATAAAGCCCGCTATCTAAAGAGATACAGACAGGGAACACAACTGATTTGACTCACTGCTGTTGCAAAAAATAAAATAGGAAAAAAGGATTTTGGCTTTTAATTCACATTTTCCTCTGAGGAGGCCACGTTACAGACAGGCCGGCTCCTTTGCTAGGACAAATACCAAGGATAGGATGGAACAGGAGACACATTTTATTATGCTCCATTATTTCAAAATATCTGTCGAAAGAGCAACTGGGTATAGTTTAGAGCCATTACATTCAAATTCAAAATTACATTTGAATAATTATAATTATTAAATAATTTGAATCAAATCAAATGTTATTCTCAGTGGACTTCCCAGATCAACATATGTGAATGACAATGTAGAAAGATATTTCCAAAAAATTGTTATAACGATTTTAATACAGTTACAAGATCAAAAGTAAAACACAAATGAAATAGAGTAAGATCCAATAAAAAATAAATAAAGAATAAATAGCACCAAAAATCTGCAACTGACTATTTCTCTAAACATTACCCAAGCAACCGATTATTTGTCTTCGTCACAGCACACCAATGATTAAAATAGTATATCCGTATGTGAGCATCCTCTACTATGAGACACCAATTGAATCATGACTTAAACTCTATTGATAGTATACGAGATGAGACATAGAGTGTTAGTTCTATAAATGTACTTACCACCTGCGGGGGTGGAGAGAGACCAGGGGGCCATATTTGGTTAGCAGGGGAAGGGTTTGAAAAGGAGGAAAGGAAATTGAGAAGAGAGAAAGGACATTAGTTAGTGGCGGGGACTGGAGCTGAGCAGGAGGGTTGAGGAAAAAGCAAAACACAGGAGTGGCGATACTGATCGTGTTACGCAAAGCACTCAGTGTAGAAGAGAACCGACTTTTGGAGGAGAGGAGAGACAGAAACAGGTCAGAAAGTAGGCCGCGCAGGAGAGACAGGAAGAGTAGAGAGAAAGACATAGAGAGGAAGACGTCATGCTGATCAAACACGGAGTCTTTATACTTTTGTTTTGCAGGAAGATCAGAGGAAGGGGAATCCTGTAGAATCAGTAAGATAGAGAAGTGGAGTACATACATGTCCGTGTAGATCGGTGTTGAGTAGCATGAGGGCGCAGGTTAATGTGTGAGCTCCATCTGCAAACAGCACAATACACAAGGTCAGCTAAATGTCATGCTACACAACTCACACACACATCTGCAGAGCTGCGTAAATGCTACAATCATTTGTGTCTAATCTGAGTCAGTATTATAATAATGCAACGAGCAATAACGCTGTAGTGCCAATATGCTGAAGTCATGAGTTTGTTTAATTGGGATCGTTATGGAGAGCTGTAATAGTAATGCTAAATCAATGTGTTTCTTATAGTGTGATATTTTGTACATCTGCTATGACTTTTATTATATAACTTCCCACACAGACATGTTTTTTTAAATAAGTAGAACAAATACTATATTACTATATACTATATTAGAATATATTTTTTAATGAAATGTTATAGCATTTAACGGATGAATATATAATAAATAATACATATTTATTGACATGGACAAATGTACATATTTTAAATATATATATTCTAGTATGTCTCTGTTTTTGTATCTGCTGCTTGATCTCTCCTGAAATCAGTTTTGTTTAACAATGTTTATTTTATGCTAAAATTAAGTTCATTAGCATCTTTTATTAGTTTATTTTGTTGGTTAGCAGGTTAGCTTACCACTGTAAGCTAACAGTGGTAAACATAAAAAGTGTTTATGGTTATGAAGCATACAATATGATTTAGGTAGACGTGGCAAAAAGCGTGTTTAAACATCCAAAAACTGTACACTTTACCATGTTTGCTGTCAAACATTGTATTTAGCTAATGAGAACTCTCACTCTCTGCTTTGCGCTACCACTTTTTAGGGGACATAAACGTATGAAATACATATTTTTGGTGAAGTGAATCATCAATATTGCTCGACATACCATCATCTTCATCATCCCAGTCAGCCTCCTGCTGTCTGTGACCTTCAGAGGAGAGCGTCTGAGGGTTGCAGTTGCAGAAGCGTCTGGAGAAATGCACGAGGATCCGCTCTCTCTCCTGGGTCTCTCCCATCAGGGGGAATGCCTTTAAGAAGTTCCTGTCGCACACAAATGACACCACGAGGTCAATAGGAGGTCACATGTTTCCTAATCACATCATCACTACAGAAATATAGCATTTCCTCGCTTCTGCCAGTTACAATAATTTGTGGAGCACAACTGACAGATTTGTTGGAAACACATTAACATTTTACTATAACAAAAACTACATTCAAACCTGCTATTTAAAACATTGAGTAATCACGTATCTTTTTATATATTAATTGATGTACTGCACTTTGGTCAACTCTGTTGTTTTTAAATGTGCTATATAAAAACCTTTGGATTGGATTGGATGTATTCTGTAGTATATCATCATTTATAAAGAGTTTTCTAGCCTAAAAGTATATGTGTGTCTGTGTTCTGAACCTTTGAAATGCAAAATAAATATATTTGATATTATAACTGTATGATAAATCAACATCTTGTCCGACTGTCACATCTTTCAGGTGAAATACTAATTTGGAGTTAAAGGGGCCCTGTGATGCCCATTTTCAGGTTCATATTAGTATGTTATGTCTCTACTGTGACATGTCTCCATGTTTTAATGTTCAGAAAGCTCTTTATTTTTCTCATACTGCCTGTGCTGCAGCACCTCTTTTCACCCTCTGTCTGAAACCAGAGCCCAGTCTGCTCTGATTGGTTAGCTCTGTTGTGATTGGTCAACCGCTTATGGCGCATTTCCACCATGGCGCGGAGCGCGGTTTAAGCGTGCCGTGTCGTGCTGGGCCCGTTTTTGGTTGCGTTTCCACTAGGCCTAGTTCCGGCCCGGGGGTACCTTTTCACTTTTTTTCTGGCCCGACAAAACGTGGTTCTATCGGGGCCAACAAACAGGGCTGAGTCGGGCTGAGTTTGCTAAACTAGAGAGAGAATCGCTGGCAAGGGGGCTACAACTACAACAAGATGAACATATTTGACCGTGATTTAATTGTAATACACGTTTCAAAATGATGCCGAAGTAACAACATACTGATACCGGTTAGTAAAAACCATGAATTAATGCTTTGACAAGTCTGCAGACAGACGGCAGGCGAAAAACCTTTTAAAATGCGCATTGTCTAAATGGAGATTGGCTAAGCTAACGCAATATATGCTCCGACCGTCCACACTCACAACAACGGCCTACAGACATAAATAAAGCAGCGACTGTATTCACCATGACACAGACAGTCTGTGGTTTGTACTTGTTTAACTTTTGTCTAGTTTCTGAACAGATATGAGGAGCTGTGAGCTCTGAGTGCTAACAGCTAACGGCTGATGTTGTTTTTTCTGGGGTGCTCATTGAAGATGACGTCACGGCTCCGCCTACACTGCGTTACTATAGATACTACCCCAGTTCCTAAACTGTAATGGAAGCGCAGCATTAAAGTGAGCTGGGCCTAACAAGGCCTAACAAAACTGTACTAAGTCGAGCGAGGCCTGCGGTGGAAATGCGCCACAGAGATGCGCTGAGAGATGTCATAGGCTGATATTATTTTTACAATCATTAATCAGTTCAGTCATTTTTCAAGAATAATTGCCAAATATTTGCCTTCTTACATTTGATGACTAAATGATCAATTCACTGTTAACAAATAACGTTTAGTTACAGCCCGACATAAGGCTGCACATTTCAAATAAAGCTGCTAGAAAGAATACTGATGGAAATAATTGTTGTGCAGGCCGACTACCACAGTTACCTACATTAAACCATTTACTGTGTTATATATTATAATGTCAACAAGAATATTTCATGTTTTATCAAATGTTATTATGGCTGACTTTAGTGTGAAGATCTGATGGGGAAAATGATATATCTTATTCTAATCTAAGATCCAAGTGCAAATTAATGCAGGATTATTATGTAAACTGTTATTTCTAACAGGCGTCTGCTAATGTGTCTGAAGAGCACTGGGGGCCTCTTGAGTGGACAGGCAGCAGTTTGAGACAGGTAGGAGAGCTCTGATGAACTCTGCTGCTGTCAGCTGCACTGGCTCACCGTACTCAACACGACAGCTTGATTAGCACGAGGCTAATGCCCTATGAAGAGGCAAAGGAGAGAGTACACACACGTACATGTATATGGACGTTTACATCACACACTCATCACTTCCTCGTGCTGACTGTGCATTACCTCAGGGCTCGATCCAGGGACAGGCCGGAGAAATCAAAGAAGCTCAGGTACTCCGACGCCACCAACTGGCTGAACTCATTACTGCGGAGAGTAAGTAGAGGAGGGAAGGGAGCGTCAGCACATCCAAGTATAAAAGGTTTGCTTAATTCTGCTGTATTAGAGAATAGAGAAACTAGTGCAGATGTGTCTGATTACTTTACAAAAACACTATTTGGAGCAACCGCTTCATATGATCACATGTCTCTTCCAGTGGTGGAATGTAACTAAGTACATTTACTGAACAAATGAACTTAAGTACTATTTTTAGGGACTTATCATTTACCTTAGTATTTCCATATAATGCTAATGTATACTTTGACTTCACAAGATATCAGAGGGAATATTGTATTTTTTACTTTTTTGACATTGTCAATTTTCTTCAAAAAGCACATGTACTTATATGATATGATGCAGTATTCTACCACCAACTTACCTAATAGTGTACAAAGTACTTCACATAGACAAACTACAACATTAAAATACTCTAATATGTATTCATTTGTGATAGAAAAAGAATGATATAATATTTTACAATAAATAAATACTGAGTATGTTTACTTGAGATGCTTAAAATGTATGTAGCTAATATTATTTATGTACTTTTATTTAAGTTTAGCTGGGATCAATATGGAAAACATTATTAGTTATGCAAAAAGATTTGTTTGTTATTTTAAGAAATGTTTGCATGCTGGTATTACTTATTATATAACTTCCCCTCCAGACAATTTTTTTTAGTGAAGTAAAATTAAATACATTTAAATGTCTTCATTCCTTAGTGATTCAAACTGAATATTATTAGATATGTATATAAAAATGTAATACTGATCATTTTTCCTTGAAGTAAACTTTGCTGATATTATTTCCCTTAGGTTTTACTGGGATCAATATGGAGATCTGTAATAGTTACATTTTGAATGCATGATTTTCACCACCACTGTTCATCCATACACTAATACTGAACATATGCAGCTATGTAAACATGTTTTGCTCTGTTTCTGGTATTTGCCAGTGCACATGTGTTATTGTTTATGAGGAGCGCTCACTTCTTGCCCAGGTGTCTGGCCACGTCGCAGCGTTTGAAGCCCTCGAGGTGGTAGAGGCGCTTGGCGAGCCTCTTGGCGGCCTCACAGTCGGCTCGGCATCCATTGGCCAGCGTGTCGGTGCTGCCGCGCTCCAAACGCTCCAGACTGCCCAGATCGCACTCCTCTGAGTCCGACAGCACGTCTGTGAGGTTGGCATCGCTGCAGGAGAGGACACACAAACACACACACACAAGCAGGTGCCCGGGTTAATGAATGAGGCCCATGTCCGTCGTTACACGCCCACTCACTTAAAACAAGAAACTCATTATATCAACATATGTTCGCATATACGCTAAGAAAAGTCATATGAGGTTTAAGTGTCTTTTACGACACTGACCCAGTTTCCCTGCCACTTAATGTCCTACTTTAGTGCAGCAAATCTAAAGGCTGATTATAATGCAGAAGAAGCTTTCACCTGCCCCAATCTCTTCTAAAAAGCTCCACTAATCTTAAGCTGTTAACCTCTCGCATCATTAGAATTTAAGTGCTGTAATGAGAAAACTAAAACCTCTATTATACTTCTATTTCTATATTTCTAGGCACACGTAGCCTGAAAGTGAGCTTTTCCTTCATAATGTGAACTAATACTGATCTCTGTGGCCTCTCCCATCAACTTGACCTTGAGCAAAAAAAACGATCTGAACAAGTAGTGTCCATCTCATGCTCATTGTCTATCCCAGCTGTGAATGGGTGTATCTGTGGGACTATTAAGTTGGGAGTTCCCTAAAAAAGAATGTACTCAACAACCCCTGCAGGAGTAGTTAAGGCTTAGAAACATTTAGAGTTGCCAAGCTGTTGAAGACACGAGAGTGAACACGCAGCTTGTTTATTACCAAGTAATGTCTTGGCTGTATGTAAGACATGTTCTTGAACACCATGTACCGTGTTGGGCGTTAAGAGTCGTTTGACATTCTAATATAGCATTGTCTCAAACTGAACTGCGTTGAAGTGTTAAATATAGCCTACTGAATTGTTAGCTATTAGTGACAATTTTGAAACCAGCTTCCTCTCAGGCTCTGTTCAACGTCACAAAACGTTCTAACTTACTCTGATCCATGCATATGTAAAAACACACAACTAAAAGAAAATGCAATGTTACTGAGTATAAAGAAGTACAACTGACTCCACCTTGGAGAAAAGAAGACTACAATATGTCTGTTTTTGCCACTGCTGGTGTCTCATTCAAAACAATGACAAAAGAAGGATTTGGGTTGCTAGCGGGATCATGGGAGTTTTATATTTGCAGTCAGCTTCTCCTGGTAAGGACTCCCTCATTGTCCATCATTTCAGTTTTTACAGGAAGCCAGAAAATCATCAGATATCTACTCCTCTCCATAACTACCTGACCAGATGTTAGAAATGTTGAATGAATTAAAGTGTAAGATCTAAATAAGGTATTGGAAAAATGTGTCTTAAAACTGGACAAAAACTTAATTACAGCTTCTGATAGACAACCACAAGACTGACGGACTGGAGAGGACATCTGCTCATTTTCAGGTTCCTATTTGTATGTTGTGTCTCCACTGTGACATGTCTCCATGCTTTAATGTTCAAAAAGCTCTTTATTTTTCTCATACTGCCTGTGCTGCAGCACCTCTTTTCACCCTCTGTCTGAAACCAGAGCCCAGTCTGCTCTGATTGGTTAGCTGGCCGGCTCTGTTGTGATTGGTCAACCACTTAGAGATGTCCTGCCCCTTAGCCTATCACATACAATTAGTTGGAGTGCTAGCAAATAGAAGCGCAAGTGTTACATAGTGATGTCACTATGTTACAGAATTCAACAAAGGAGTCCAATGGAGGCGATTCAGGCAGGGGGGGGGGAGTGTGTGGGAGAGAAACATTTACATGCACAAAAACCTATATAACACACTACAGGAAAAGAAAACCCCAAAAGAAAAGTAGGGCCTCTTCAATACAACGCCATTACAGGAGACTACATAAAACCGACAAATTACCCTGATGAAAACTACAGATCTCTATAGTTTCAAAAATGGTTGGAAAGATATAGGTCAGTAGATACATCAACACATTTATAGCATAGTCTAGTCATATTCAGACATTTAAATGCAGAAATGTTAGATGGTACACTTTCAACATATGGAAATAGGGCCATTCCTGCTGACTTCAATGCAGAGTCTTGCTCAGGGACTCAGTGTGATGAACTAATCAGGCCAAGGTATAACTGTTAGTGTCAGAATCAATGCACAGTATTAATTAGAGCCCTACTTATTTATTTATGACTTAGTGAGGTAGTTTGATTAAGATATTGAGTTTGGTCCACTGTACTGCAGTGCACTGTATACTTTGCTAGACCCAAGAGCCTACCAGTGGGAAGTTAATTGGCCTTTTATAGTACTTTAAACACTCATTGCTGATGGGATAGTTTTTGATTACAAGTTAAAACAACCCCTACAGGCAAGCAGGACATTTCATATTATCCATGCTGAAAGGAACACACAAACTGCCCTCTATTGTTGTATTTGATAAATCAGCAGGAAACAGTGAATTGTGGTGTTTTATTTCTTTGGAAAGACACATTAACCTCCATCAGTCCAAATGGCATTTCCTCATTTCCTGTCTGCGTGTGCATCTGCGTGGCACCGTCAGCATTGTGGCCAGATGATTCAGACGTTTCTTTGCATAATCAGATCAGCCCAATTGCATTACGCTCACAAATTCAATACATTACGCGCTGTTGTTAGGGGATTTGCTGGTTACCGTGGATACAGCGGAAGCCAAGTGTCCTGTGCTAGGAGACAACAGTTTTAACGGGTACAAAGGGCCATCAGGAAAAAAGAAAGACTGACAAATAAGCACTCACAACAAACAGCTCCATAGTCAGGAGTCAGTCTTTCTGTCTTCACATGTTGAAAAGCTGACTGCACACTATAGACCAAAGCCGACCTCTACAAAGGGCCTGATTTCCCTGCTTCAGGCAAGGTCACACTGCCTGTCTTCCCTGATTCATTAGGCCCTCAGCATCACTCTTCATCTGGCCCCTGACCTTGGACACATTTGCCTTGGGAGAAGCTACAAGGAGCTATAGCCTCCCCATCCCCGCAACAACACAGCTACCAGGGTCACGGGAACACATCAACGAGTCACACAAACTGCTTTCGACCTTATCGTGGCAGAGCATCACTGCCAAGAATGACAATAAGATTGCAGATACAGTCGGTGAAAGCAGTTTGGTTTGCAGGGTGCCCGTGCTCATCCTTAGGGACAGGGCGGGGAGTTTGTATATCCGGAAGGAGGAGAACCGACAAGAAGCCAGTTGATGGATTTAAATGAAATGATTCTGTACCGCGTTAATTGAATGAAAACTATGACCAGTTATTTACGTCAACAACATTTTTTCCATGACTTAGACAATGACGAGAGCGCATCGAACGAAAATAATCACTTACTGTGATTATTTCAATAGAAAGATATTCTGAAATGTAGTTTTAAATTAAAACTTTATCAAATATATTTTGTTTTCATTGAAAGAAAAGAGCAGATGACTGGTTTATTTGTTCCTAATGCAGCATTTTCATTTCCTGTGCTACATGTTAATTACTTTAGGTTCAATTGAATAACAACAGGGCGTAGGAGAAAGAAACAAGCTGATATATACAACATTTTGAAATGTCAACAGCTTTTTTTAAATAAAACTAGACTGAAATATTCAAGCTTTTCTTAAAATATGATAATAAAAATGAATAAATAACAGGGACATTTGTCACAATTTTAAGTCAAAATAAATATAAATGGCTGACAGAATGAACAGCATCCCTCTACGACTCCCTCTGTATGTATTCTGGACATGTCCAACAGGGATAGACCCAGATTCTACTCAATGGACAAGATATTCCACCTGACCTGGGAAAGTCAGAAAGCAGGACCCCCTTTGGGACTGAGAAAAGTCATTGAAAATTGAAAAATGGTGTGGATGCAAATACATACATATTTCACAAAGACATAAACACATATAGATATGGACTCGCATGAAAAAAAAGAGCCAGTGGCAAACCATCAAAACAATATCTCGGCCGGTGTTTGCAGTGAAATTGCTTTCGGTTGTCTGACCATATTAATTCACCAGACTCATAAATCATTCAAAGCATCGTATCAGTCATGGGGATAAAATGATGCTAGGCTCCACCGATTGACTGCTCTGCTGTCTGGCAATAATAGAACCAACACACACACACACACACACACACACACAAAATAACAGAGAAAGAAAGAGACACAATATGAAGTGTCAGATATCTAGAGCGGGCCTTTATGCCAAGACACTCGGCGTCACAGAGGGCCAAGTGGCACACAGTCAACCTGTTTGTCTATCTAAAGGCACACAAGTCTGTATCCCCAGGCCACACATATTCATCCACTGTGACCGCCACTCAGTCTGCCAGTGTGTCAGAGATAGAGAGCATGATGGCGCATGCCAGTGACTCACATGCTAATCTCTTTGGCTCTGCAACTCCCGAACCCACACCTACAAGGTGTGTCTGCATGTGAGATGTGTGTGTGTTGGGAGGGTCCGAGTGGCATCTTCCATCAGGGTAAATATTATGGGATTAACTGGATTATGAAATTCTGTTATTTCACCGGCTCTTCTTTCCTTTTCATTTACATCATTGGCTAACTGCGGTAGACATGTTATAGGAACACACACATGAGAGTGTGTTAGACAGGAAATCTACTGGGGTTTGTAGATACAATCTCTGCAACAAAAAAACTGTAGCAATATTGGACTCTTGAATGTCAAAGAAGCCAGGACAAACAAAACAACTACAGTAAACAATAAGTGGCCACCGTGTATCCAAGTTACTTTTACACTATTATTGACATTATTGAACCTAAGGCCATGACATGCAGGTAAAAAGTCGCTCATATTGATTTTTTTTAAATGCTGGGCACAGTTCAGAGTACAAGTCAGGCATGAAACTAACAGTTTCAAGCAATTAGGCAGCCTTCAAACATGCTAAACAATAATCCTTCAATATAACTGTAGCTGCCCAAAATTTCCTCAGCATCCATCTTCACAATCAGTTCATTATCACAAAGTGTACAGTACTGGTTCCAGTAGCTCAAATTTGAGGATTTGTCATGGTTTTCTCCTTTTTGTATTGATTGTTTACATAACATATTTGGTGTTTGGACAGTTGGTG